CGACCAAAGCTATACAAGAAAAAGGGATAAAAAACAACGGCTGAAAAATGATAGTGGACCAACAAGTTTTGTTATTTTAGTTATTCTACTCCCTGTCGTTTGCATAGCGATGTGGTGGACGTCAGTTTGACGCGGTACATCATCGAAGACGATTGCTCGTTGTACATAATCATAATCTACTCTCAAACGAATTGTTAAAACATATGCAACTTATTGGCATTGCCGTTAGGAAGATGGCGGCACACTTTTTTTTTTGTTGCCAGGCTATTGCTGTGTAGTGGGAATCCTTCTCTTGTTAACATTATGTGACATATAACTATTGGAATCAACAAACAACTCCCACGATGTCCAAGACTACTATTATTTTCTTTTTCAATGGTTACTGAGAAGCTTCTCTACCGCCCATTTTACCGAGAAATTCCGCAGGTCTGAATAGTGCTGGCCAACACCAACAAAAAGCACAGGGACGTTTGTTGCGTGAACAAGACTAACAAGAGTGCCGACCATGTCACCAACAGTGTCACACTTGGAGATGATAAAGCCATCAAGCGTGCGAACAGCACCAAAAGCAGCGTTGAAGTTGCGTGCTTGAGCGACTGAGTCGGTACCTACAAGAGCCTGAGATCGAAATTAGTTAATGCAGAAATGGACTTCAAAGAACTGATGACATACCTCGCCAACCATGAGGATCTTGTCAGGTTGAGCAAACTTGGCAAATTTCTCAAGAGAAGACATAAGACGTTGATCGTTATGTCTTCTACCTGCTGTGTCAATGAGAACGACGTCGTAGCCCTCTTGCGCAGCATGGGTCACGGCATCCTTCGCAACCGTAGCAGCATCCTTGCCATAGCCTTTCTGGTAGAGCTCAACGCGACCACCTTCACGAGCCGTCAACTCCTTGAGGTTGCGGACGTGAACAGCAAGTTGCTCAACAGCGCCGGAGCGGAAAGTGTCACCAGCGGCGATCAGAACCTTGTACTTATTCTGGAGGAGGAAGAAGCAAATCTTAGAGAGGTTGGTGGACTTTCCTACACCGTTGACGCCCACAATTGACATGACATAGGGACGAGGCTTGCGGAGAGATGTCACCGGAGGAGCCGTGATAGCGTCTATTTCGCGAAGAAGGTCGAGGGATGATGTTGGGGTAAGCATCTTTGTGAGCGAGGCCTCCATGGCGGCTTGGATTCTGGCATTAATACCTGCGAAACTGGTCAGAATGAAGTCAACAGGACATGATAACGGTCAGTGAACGTACTCTCGAAACTGCCAGTTTTGACACCAAGCAATTCCTTCTCGACACCTTCGCATAGTCGGACAGCAGCCTCCCGTGCCACGTTCTTCTGGAGTAAGTGCTCCTCCATACCCTTCATAGCCTTGTCGAGATCTTCTTTGGTCAACGTCTTGCCCCCAACAACGTTGCGGAAGAGACCGCTAATAGCGCTGACGCCCGACCCCAAGAGGCCAGATCTGGTTTGTGTCTTTGCTCCCGCTGCCTTCTCTGCTTCTGAAGCTAAGATCTCATGCACCTCGTCACCAAGATCCTTGAGTACGAACTTGCCCTTTGATGTTGAGCCCCATGTGCTGGAGTCAATCTCATCCACAGCAGTTGATCGCCCCATTGCCTCAACCTCAGAGTCACTGGTAGCATGCGCCTTTGCGGAATAGTCAAGCTGGACATCGTCTTCCTCATCGGCGAAGCCATCGGCGTCCCATTTGCGCCCCTTCTTGGCGACTGCCTTCTTCTTTCGCGGCGCTTCGTCGCCGGAAGACACCGGAGCTGAGGTCTGGTTCTTCGCTTTGCGGGCTCGACGAGAAATCTTTGCGATAGGACCACCCTTTGCGACAAGGAGATGGTTGTTCGGTGTTCCGGGTCGTGATCCGTTCGGCGTCAAAGCGGGGGTTGACTCGTCGGCTGAAAGGGCATCCTGAGGCCCATTGAGGTGACGCCCTCGGTATGTTAGACCTGGCGCAACGGGAGGGTTGTCGCCAGTGTTTCCTGAGATGATTTCTTCTTCTAACGGGACTGCGCCAGCCGTGATGGTAGTGGAGGGGACCTTAGTACTAGTCTGGTCGAGCTCCTCAAGTTGTACGTCGAAGTATTCATCGAAGGCGTGGCATTCGACGAGGGTAGTATGTGGCTTGGTCAATTGTTCACCGTAGAGATTGATGAATATAGTCTTGATATTATCAACGAGCTTGTCAACCCATGAGAGGTGCAGGAGGGATCTGTAGACGGCCTAAAGAGGGAGTGGAGACGTCAGCGCCGAGGATCGGGGGAGAAGCCATCATGACAAGTAAGGTTCAGGACTCACAACGAAGATAACGCCCAATTCCTTAACCAGAGTCCATTTGAGAGTATGTTGATCGCTCTTGTAGGGAGTATTGGTAGCTGCGGACCTTGAGTCGCTGAGGGCAATAGCGCCACTCTTCTCCTCGATAAAAGTGTCTGCGATGAAGTTGTTGATGATGGAAGGGTTTATGGGAGTATAAGTGCGAGACCAAACGACCACGCCCGAGGTGGTTAGTATTTCGAAGGAATCTAACATTTTGCGAGTATCTCTCTTGAACGTTGGGTTGGACAAGAGGAATGATGATGATGCTGGTGGGAGAATTGAGATGCAAGTCCAACGTGGAGGCGAATATTCGTTGTTAGATGTGGCTACTGTAGAGCAGAGTGGGAGCCCAGAACTAACTAATGGGCAAGTCTACCCAGTTAAAGATAAGATAAAACCGCTGCACATCAAAAGTAAAGGACAGGGACTCGACCCGGGCACGCCGTTTGGGCCTAGGCCTTCCTTGGAGAAAGAAAACCCAACCCTAGGAGCAGACGTTACGATCGATCGAGAGAATGGAGGTGAACGTGACAAGGTGAATCAGTTCAACTGAGAATATTTTGGATTCACTACCTAACGATAAACGCCTTCTGAATAAACTCAGGCGTCTCTGCCTCTCCTTTAAATTCGATATCGAAACAATCACGTGGCCCCTCTAACTTACCTGGAAAGAAGTGGCAGTGGAGGTTGCCAGGCTGGAGCTCTCCATGATGCTAGCGCCCAATCAGATGAAATCGACACATTTCCTGAACTTGACCTACCAGGAACTGAACAAACACCAGCTTTACGTTTAACCTCGTCATCAGCCATCACCAACTCACCTGAACCCAACTCGAGACGTCGAAACGTCAGGGAAGAGCAGAAAAATACCCAGCGCATAAAGAACACGCACCCTCCTCCGTCATGCAGCGAGCGACATACGCGCAGTCGCCTCCCCTTCACCATCCAGTCCCTCAGCATGTGTCGACCGTCCCTCAATTAAGATCGCCGCCACCTCCTCCAGGCTCCGCGCAATCACAGCAAGGCTACGCTGCCAACGCGGAAGGAAACCCATATCAGCAGCAGGGAGGCACCAGCGGCAACGTCTTTGGCCAGTATGGCAACTTCATGAACGACCCTACAGCGCAGGTGGCGGCGCAGTTTGGACAGACGGCCTTTAAGCATGGACAGGAGTATATGGAGCAGAACGTGAGTCCTACCAGCAACACGGTGGGTGGTCTTTGTGGCACCTGGTACTAACTGTCGCGATAGTTTGGTCGATACGTCAATGTCTCTGCCCTCAAGCATTACTTCAATGTCTCCAACTCATACGTCGTCAATAAACTCTTCCTCGTCCTTTTCCCCTGGAGGCACAAGCCCTGGTCTCGCAAGCAGGCTGTTGGGCAGAATGGACAAGAGGGCTGGTACCTACCCCCACGAGAAGACATCAACAGTCCCGATATGTATATCCCAGGTGCGTAATCCAAGGTTGGAGACCGCTAGAATTGGACGAGTTGGCTAATTGTAGTACAGTTATGGCACTTGTGACATACATTCTGCTCTCGACGCTGATCGCTGGTCTTAACCACCAATTCCAACCAGAGCTTCTTGGAAAGACAGCTACAGTTAGTCTAATTGTTGTCATCGTTGAGATATTCTTCCTGAAGCTGGGATGCTACCTCCTGAGCATCTCCAGCCAATCCCAACTCCTTGATCTGATTGCCTATTCTGGGTATAAGTTTGTCGGAATTATTGTTACTATTGTCGTTGCCGAGATCCTTAACGGCGGCAAGGGCACCGGTGGCTGGGTTGGCTGGTTGGTCTTTGTCTACACCTACCTTGCAAACTCGCTCTTCTTGGTAAGTTGCCACATTATTTGGCAATGCAAACATGCACATGCTAACTATTTGCTTAGATGCGATCACTCAAGTACGTCCTCCTGCCCGAAACATCTGCCGGCTCCAGCGGGCCAATGCAGACAGACTCACGGGCGAAGCGCAGCCAACGCACAAAGTTTCTTTTCATCTACTCTTACTTTGTGCAGCTCTTCTTCATGTGGCTTCTTACCAGGGCATAATGAATGATAGCTCATAAGTGAATCACTTATTGTGTCTAGGAGGTCTGCATTGCACTCAAAAGGGCCCGGAGACATCTGGGTGATATAAACATTGGTCAATGAACCATGGGGCAGAGACGGTAATGAGGGATGACTGGGGATGTATGATAGCAGCTCGAGCTGAACGACGAAGCATTAAAAACGTCAATGATTTAATTTATTCAACCATGAGCTATAGATTTCAATGATATTTGCTGAAAGTCACTACATGACTATTCACCTGCAGCACATGCGTGTGTTGTTATTAACCAATTAGACATGGCTCGCATCAAACTATTTCTCTCCCCACACATCTCATGAATGATTCATCGAGTCCCTGTCTCTCTTGTTTCATTAATAATACACCGCCTTCACGGGCTGCTTTTGTTAACCCTACAATACAACTTGAGTAACCGAAATCCCAGCACTCTCAACGCTTGGGTAGAGTGTCCTCAGAAATATATCTTGGCTCGCCTATCTTAGCGCCGATCTCACTGTCTCAACTTAACACGTCTCTATTCTTATCAACTCTTCAACATCGTCTTCTCTTCCACCCACATAATCCCTGAGATTTCGTACAATAATAACAAAAAATGGACTACCCTCCCGTGGTTATGGCCACTATTCAGAGTGCTGCTTTGGGTGGCATTGCCAATATCTTGGCTCAAGGCATCTCGGCCTATAGAGCTGGGGTAAATCTGGTATTTACATACGCCTTGACATGTTCGAATGCTGTTATTGACAATTTTCACCTTAGAACGATATTGTGATAGACTGGGTTCCTGTATTTCAGTTCCTCCTCTTCAACGTTATTTGTACACCACCCAACTTCTACTGGTATGCTTCTTCTTCTTCCCTTTGCAACCTTCAGACTGACACGTCCCAGGCAAGATTTTCTTGAATCAACATTTCCCGCTCATCCTGATGATGTCTCCGAAGCTAAGGACTCCAAGGATGCTAAAAAGACTCAGCCCAAGCTTTCTATACGAAACACTCTTATCAAGTTCTTTCTCGACCAGACTGTTGGTGCTGCTGTGAACACCCTGCTCTTTAGCACCTACACCCATGCCCTACGTTCAGCTATACATCCCGCTCCCGTCATCACCAGTCTCACCAAGGCCATCACATATTGGACTTCGCCAGGCACCCTGGACTTTGGACGAGTTAACTGGACAGCCGTCTGGGAGGCTTCCAAGGTCGATTTTGCTCCACTTATCTTTGCTGGATGGAAACTTTGGCCTGCTGTCAGCCTTGTCAACTTTGCAGCCGTCAAAACTGTTGAGGGACGCAACCTCGTAGGCGCGTTGGCTGGTGTTGTGTGGGGAATTTATATGAGTCTAGTTGCTGCCCAGTAAACCATAGCGATATAGGCAGGCTTCAGCAATATATTCTGGCTAAGCCGAAGCACATGAGCAGATAGACAACAACTCAGTCGAGTATACGGGGAGTACCGAGAAATCTTCGGTGGGTAGTTCTGAACTAAGCGGTGGCAGCAGAACACGAGCATGTACCTAACCTTGAAACCTGGGGAAAAAAAAACTTGTTGTATATTTAGTCGCTTTTCATTCTTTACGCTTGAATATCGAATTCCTAACCTCAAGCCTTCAAATACCCCAAACTACTCAGCGGCAGAACTTCCCGAAGCCATGCCGTTTCCAAAAGGGTCAGAGTGTGCTTCTGACAATACACTCTCGACTTCTCAATCAAAGAGCGATTCGCAAACCGAGCAGGAGGTGTCGCTGCAATTTTCAAACAGATCTTCCTCATCCCAGTCCTCCAGAGTCACAGATTGCTGAGGTAGAGGATTTTGCTGAGAAGAGGTCGTGTCTGTAACACCGAGAGGTGAAGTTCCCCCAACCGTATGATTGTTGCGAGACCATGGCCTTGAAACACCACTGGCGCTTGCACTCTCAAAACGTCCCCGGGAAGAGAACAATCGGCCACCTGGCGTTGGGTCGAATATGGCTGGTTGACCATGGCTATTGACCCCAATTGCTTCAATATGGTGGTCGAGCTGGTCAAGTACCCTCGAGGGCAGTGGTGCAGCCAGGCGGTTTATATCGTCTACTTCCGAGTTAGTTGTGAGATTGGATATGGGCGACGGCGGGTGTTCTGCCGTGCTTTCAGTCTGCTTGGCTGGTCTCGGCGGTGACCCGGGGTGCGAACGAGGTCTCATGAACCAATCTGGTTCTGGTGCCGTGACAGAGACATTGAACTTCGTGAAGAGGTTGTCGGCAACTTGATACCAATGCATAAGCCAGGACCGCATCTTCTAGAGGTATTCTTCGGTTTGCACGGGCTGCAGCATTGCGCAGGAAAAGTTGTAGATGAGTGCCAGTACCTATCTGATATCCTTGGGTAAGTCTTGGCGGGCTTGGATGATGCAGGACCATTCACGAGCTGCCTCGAAAACCGGATCGCCATCGGGTTCGATAGTGCGCAATGGTTTGAGGATGTTAAGGTGATCAATGTTCTCGCAGCATGGCTGGTAAGCCCGAAGGCTATCGAATGTCATGAACTCCAAAAGAAACATAGTTGGTATGCGAGGATGTTCGATCAAAATAGTTGACAACCTACGATAGGTAATGTCGGTACGAGGTAACGCATGATGGTCGGGCATGTCCAGAAAGACGTTAGAGTCCTGCGAATCGACAGCCCGACCGAGAGTATCGTTATTTGCATTTGTAGGTGATACCATGCTCCCATGTGCTATTGAGGGAAGTTCGACAGCGGAAGCCTTGAGGTCTTGTGGGTGGATCCAAAAGGCATAAGAATGCTTATGGAAGAAAACGGCAGCACAATCTCCGCAGAAAGGCTGGATAACAGGTCGAGTTGTCCAAATGGCATGATAACATTCGTGGACTGGGCAGAAGTACTATGCCTGTCGCCCAGTAAAAAGGCCATTGTGATACAATTGACGGCGACGGATACCGTGCGTGTCACTGGCGATGGTGAAGCATTTGCACGGTGACATTGTGATAGAATGAAAGTGAAAGTGAAAGACGATGATTGAAATGAATTCCCGTGGTGGATTAGTGCTTGTTTTCAAGAAAGACTGTGAGATATTTCCTAAAGCTGAAAAAGATAGTAGTTGGATGTTGTCATACGAACAAAAACCACTATGCCAATAAGTTCAAATAGAGTCTTTACACTTAGGGCCTAAGGCAACAGGGCTTATCACCTATGGGTATCCTGTAGGTCCAGCAAATGCACCTCAGGCTTGGAAGGATCCATCTGTAGTAAAGCAGGAACCACCTAGTGACGCCCATCGGACAATTAATAACGGCCCAGGAGCCAGGTTGTTGGGCCAGGCACCTCTTGATACTCAGCCCGGATGCTGTACCTGCTCTAGACGCGCCACGCAGAAGCCATCGTGGAGTCTACCTCAGGCAAGGCGCCTACCTATCAATAGGGAGATATTTAGTTGCCAGGGCAGGTAGGCATTTACCAACCATCGAACTGATGGGCGAGATCTGATAAGGGCCACCAAGAGATCTGGCCAAGCGTTTTGGCAGATCAAGCCCCTAGACTGTGGAAGATGGTATCCAATGCTATGTCAGTCCGCTGACTTGCCAAGTATTGGAAGAGATCACTACTGTACTCGTACGGAATTCACATCTCTGCCCTAGGCTGTACGTGTCTCTGTTGCAAATTTAGCAACTCAACGACTGGAATAAGATTCATCCATGGAACCTTTGCGTCTGCGGTGGGCCAGGTCATCGCGGAGTTCCCCTACATACTACCAGCATTTCTTAGCAGCGGCCCAGTCCAACTCGGGACTGGAACTCGAAGCTTGTTGACTAGCACGGTACCGAGAGCTTGGTGAGTTCGGGAGATGCGCAAGCACCCGAGTGCGAGCCAAACTCAAACAGGTAGGATGAGCAATGTGCACGAGGATGACAGTTGTCACCCGAAAAGCTAGTGAACTTACTCACCATCCATCATCATTGATCGATCGATTTGATGCCTATGCCATGTGAGACAAATTCCGAGATCGGTGGGTGCAGGCATGCCAAGCTAGCCAAGGTGTCGGCTACGCATCGTAACGTGCCTCTGAGATAATATTCCCGATCTCAAATTCGCCGATACGAAGATGGCTTCCAACACGGACAGCTCGTGGCTGTAATGCTCTTGGCGCTGGGACGGCCGAGAGACAGTCTAGGTAGGTAGGCTAGGGGAGGAAATAAAACTCGGGATCTTGAACCTAACTGATAAAAAGACTTAGGTAACTTGGTATACCATAGCGGGAGGGGGGGGGGGGGGGGTTTTAAA